CGACGTTGGACGCTGGTTGGCAATGACCTCACTACTTCTTGGGGTTCTGTTGGCCAACCCAAATTTTTACCAACGTTCTCGTATGCTAAAACATTTGGTGAGACTAAGAATCTCCCACCGCCCAATATCCATACAAGTTTGTTTGTACGTCCCTTGTATCCGAGAAACACACTCCTTGCACCCCTGGGGTCTAGCTTTTCTCCTGCAATTCTGCGCGACTTCTCTACATGTGTTATGCATCTTGATCCGGGAATTAAGAGGTGACTGACGTCTGGCTTAATCGGCCTGCCTTTCATAGCTGACCAGAATACTTCATATGGGGTCTTGTGCTGATCGACTGGAGATTGAGATGTCATATTGAGTGTATAGCATGTTGTCTCCATTATTTTGTCCCAAAATACCGATGGTATTTTTGTTTGAATTGTGCAGCATCGGGCAGCGTCCTGTATGAACCTAATTCCTCTCTCTGACACTCCGTTCTGATGCTGATTGTCTGGGGCGGACACAATGATATCTATACCTTGGTCTGCAGCGAATTCCTCAAATCTCGACATGCCCCAATCTCTGCCTCCGTCAATTGTAATCCACCTGACTCTTCTCCCTTCAAGCTGCAGTTCAGCGTTAATATTTCTCAGGATGTTCATCAACTCAACTGCCGCATCCTTTTTGGTCTTCAGTGGCTTGAGGAAACGGTATCTAGATAGATCATCCGTCGTTAAACAGTAGTAACTATTGCCATCCATGGTTTTAGGGTTGCTCGATCCCAAGTCACAGTGCCATCCTTCTCCGACGTATTCAGCTCGTCGTCGTCTCTCATTGGTAGTGTATTTTACAGATTTACCTAGATCACAAGCCTCACATGGTATATTGATAACATCACTCGGGGTTAGGTTTATGCCAGTAGTATTTTTAATTGTCCACCGCAACCTATCTGCGCTTGGGTGGCATAATCTTCGATGCCACAAGGTTAGGTTTCTAATGGTTTCGTCAGAGGGAATTTTTGAATTTTTACTGTTGTGTTCTTTGTCTAATTGGCACGGGAATCCTGATTTGATATGTTTCATTGGTTCATCTTCTCCAGAAAGCCAGAGAAAAAATCCTCGTTTATTGACGTTTATTAAAGATATAATACTTCCATTACTGTCAACAAGCTTTTCACCTTGTAATGAGCATCCACTTTTGTAAAACAATTCGCCGCTTATAATGTTTACGGGAAGATTCTTAACATAAAAGACATTCTTTAATCTGAGCCTTCTCGCTTTATTTTTTGAATTTCTGACCTTGAGGCATACTTCGCCTATTTTCTCTGGATAAATAACTCCACTGCCTGTCCTTATTGCCACCTCCCGTGGTCTTAAGTTCCTTACAGACTCCTTGACAAAATTCTTTAGGTTGTTAGTGGCATTAATATCAGCCCCTGTATCAAACAGCCACCTCTTTCTAATTAAAGAGTTAATTGATGCGTTATTCAGTTGATGGGCAAAGTTTAAACTCACTCCATAGCATGAGCTATCATCATTACTTGAGTGTGGCGTCTCTTCAATCTCTGGGTTGTTTACTATCCCATTTTCTTCCATCCACTCATCGTACCAATCATCACCAACATTATACTCGATCATCTTTTCTTTACCCTTCGTTGAAATTTGATTTAAAGGACGATCATGATCTGACTTTCGAGCCGGGCACTCTCTTGCATAGTGATTGCCCCTACAGATGTGACATCGATGAGGACCTTGAGTTGTTCCCCTCTTGCTATGGCAATTATTTGCATAATGACCAGTTTTTCCACAAATGTAACATACAACTTGGTTCTTACTCTCAGGGTTCTTGTCACCCTGATTTATTTTAGGTTTAAAGGCCAGCTTGCCTCTATTTTCAATTTGACCTAGCCGAATATTGGCTTTATCTCCCCTTTTGTTGTCAAAGTTGTAGTTTACCCGAAAGTCTCTGTTGGGATAATATTTGTTTGTGTTATGAAAAGCCTTGAGACTGTGGTTGGAGATGAAATCGTTGATCAGTTCTTCCAACGACCATTGTTTGGTTTTTGAGGTATGTGAGGCCTCATAATGCCATCTGTGGGCCCTTTTCTCGACCGCACGTTTGAATATAAGTATTGTGATATTGTCAGCTAACTCCTGACCAGTTGATTTAAAGTCTCTAACGCAGACTCTAAATTTTGTCACGAAATCGATGGCGTTACCTCCGTCGTAAGCCAGCTCTATTAGGTCATTGAAAAAGTTTTCAGCCTGTATTGTGCCAGACTGTCGATATGTCTTGTTGAGTAATTTCATCATATCCGATCCGCTGCTTAAATCTTCAATGATTCTTCTTGGGTTATCGGTCACTGATCTCCTGATCATTGATCCGAAATTTGCTTTATCTAGGTTTGTTAATTTGATCCCTTTAACATACCCTATCGACTGCAAAGCGAACATCACGTCATTTTTATAAACTCCCCAATCCTGGGAGCCGCGTAAGAAGTGGTCCTTGTGTGGTTTCCACTGTAATTGATCCCACCTGAGATTTATTTCTGCTGTGGTTACTTGTAATGTCCTTTGAGGAGGACTCCACCAATCGTCGTCGCTGTCGGACTGTTCGCTCCTTTTCGCCGAAGAACTAGACTCGTTATCGACATTCTTCCTTCTCACATTGGATTTCCTATTGGACCTTGACTCGTCCATCTTGTAATTGCTGGGCCTTGTCTTGCCCGAAATACTTGCGACCGATTGATCGGACTCAAGATTGTTGTCTTTCTGTTGTGCAATAATGTCGCGATCAGCTTTAGACAGTTTTCCTGACATTTTCGTTGTGTGAAGAAAGTAAAGGAGTTCTTTTGATCGTAAAAAGATAATGCTACCATATAAAAACCTTTCTCAAAAGGTGAAGTTATATTACCCTAACTCGGTATATATAAATCTAAGTATACAAAAGTTACACATATTCCAAGTATAGAGTGTTCCCCCATAAATCAACCCATTTAGCGTCGCTCGCTTATTAGGGCTAACATAGGACATGCAAGGATTAAGGTTTACACAATTATTATTTCCCTTGCACTTTTACAGAATTAATAATATGTCTCATGTGTAAAAGTGGTTTAACAACTCATCACATGACCCTATCAACTATTGGCAATATCTTGTAATTATTTTGTTACTGGTCAGTGCTAAAAATCCAAAACGTCCATTCCAACCTTTGTAGATTGTTACAAGGAGGGCAAGACTGAACACCTGTACGCGGTTTCCTCTACGAACCTGGGAGTGAAATATTCTCCCAGAGCCAAGTTCAGTCAAATTTCGCAATATCAAAGAAGATGGTCCACGAGGCAAATTTTCAAATTACTCCACCATTTCAATCTTTCACTCCCAAAGAGTCCGATTCTCAACTAAGCTTCATCAAGTCTACAAGTACGACCTAGTACATCCTCGTTTCAATGACCACACCTCTCGTTGACTTTCTCTGGCCTCAGCCGGTCACCAAATACACGCCCACGCCTATATTTATACCCGATGGAGGAAGCAAAGCGTGGAGCACAAATCTGGGAGATTGCTCTTTGGGATGGACGTGAGAGGGATCAGGACAAGTTTACAAGATGATGCAGATGAGGGAAACAATCTCGACGGGCGTGAAATTTCGAAATTTGGCAAGATTTTTATGAATTGAGCTTTGTGCGCGCCAAGACTTCGCTTGCGAGAGTACAGCTGACACTATAAAGAAAAGCCGACGATAGAAGGTGTTGTGGTCCGCCTCCTGGTGGTGTTCTCTGGTATGGTTTGGGTAACCTGAGAACCTACTCCACTTGGGAGGGAGAAGCCTGAGACCAAATTTCGCGCGGAAAAAAGTCAATGGATGACGGAGGCATGTCTGAATAACTCAGGGGTTTGAAGACGTTTCCCTGGATGGGTGTTCGTGGACGAGGGGTGACTTGGGGTGCAGAAGAAAGCTACCATAACTTTGCAGTGGTACTTGCAAATGAAATCCGAGACATGAGTGCTCCTCTTGTAAATTGAGTCGTATCTAGAAAGCTGCATACGCAATTAAAATCTGATGCAAAAAAAAACTCAGTTGAGCGGTGCATTATATTCTCGATTTCCTCCAAATGCAGTCCCAAGTACAGCTACAAGAGTGTGACCAAGATCATGCGATCATCAATAGAAAGAAAAATTTACCGTGGACATCATTACCTTTGCACAAATAGTTGCTCTTTAATTACTTAATACAACAACTATCTACTGATATTCTCTTCACCTTTGACAATTACACGATAATGAAGATGCTTTATTATGTTTTCATATCACGAGCTCCAACGGAGATGGGATTATCTATTTGTAGCCTTAATCCCCAAGCTCTCCACTTTTCTGCATCTCCTTGTTTTTGAAATTCGAAGACGATCGCTCTTACCTTTTACGTCGCGAGTCACAAGATCTCAGTTCGTCAGCGCCATATTAAAAACATCTGAATATTCATTCCACTAAAGTACCAACAACAACCCAAATTTTCTCAAGTTTGCCGTACGCCTCGTGTGTGCCGCACAGAAAAATACATTTTGGATACGACATCAGATTAATGAGTGGCAAATATCTGTCACATTCTTCGACCTATCTTTGTCTAACTTCACGACGGGATCAGAAAGTTAGCCCACAGCAGTTTTTGCCACCTATAGAATGGATCAGGGCGAAGTAATCCTTCTACAATCGCTCATTTCAGCCAAAGTCACATTCATTGAAACCACATTTATCCGGAAATTTCGTATCCGGTTGAATGAGCTTTCCATATGGAACTGGCCTATTTCGTTAGATCTCGACTCTAGCTGCTTGTATCCTTAGTGGGGAAATTGAGAGAAACCTTCAAGCGAGGAAAAACGGGATAAGTAAGGTTATAAAAGAATCCTACTCAATCATCTTCTCGAACAATTTCAACCATATCGAACACCATCTTAAACATCTCTGTTCTCTTTCATAAAACTCTTCTCGACATTAATTTTTGAACAAGAATCCCTTAAAATGCGTTTCTTCTTATTAATTCTCGCCCTGATGATTGCTGGCTTCATGGCTGTGCCAACTGGGCCATACATTGTCAGTAGAACAAACAAAAAGACCACTGGCACGAAAATTTTGGAAAAGCTGGACGGGTACCGTTTTCAGGGTAAAGTTGATACTTGGTCTGAAAAAATGAGAGGTACCCATTTCACTGATCTGACTATTAGCCACAGAAACAGGAATCTAACTTTTCGAATAGAAACCATAGAAAATGTCCTAGAGAAAATCTCGACATTTACTAGGAATAAATTCGGAAAGAAGGCTGGATCCATCTCAAAGCCATCAGGAACAAAATCTTTAACTCCTGCAGTGAGCGACGCCTCACACAGCAATCATACCAAGAGATTTCTCCAGCAGGATCCTTCTGGTTATCGACTTGATGGGAAAAAGACTTTTCCATACTATAACAAGAAGTCTAAGGATCACCTGGATCATCTCTTCCGAGAGTATCAAAAATCTTCCGACGAATGATTTGGCTCGGCTGACCTTCCGTAATCGGAATCCCCTTCTACGGGAAATAAAATGTGGTAGAGTTCCACCTGATCAAAATATAGTTGATCTTGAGATACAGAGTTGATTAGCTAACAAATTGCAGAGGAAATTTTCTCGTGAATTTTTGGTGTCGGTCAGGATTATTGAGTTACTTGGAAGCCAAGATTCCTAGGAAGGCTGATTCATCTGCATGCACTGATAATTGTGTGGTGGCGTTAAAACGGAGTTCAGGTGTTCTCAAGAAAGATACGTGGGACACGGTATTGCGTTATAAATGTTGACTTCTTTTGCATCAGATTGTAATTGTGTACGTAGCTATTAAGCTATGACACAATATCAGAGAAGAGTACAAAATAGATGACTTGATTTACAAGAAGAGCACTCATGTCTCGGATTTCATTTGCAAGTACCACTGCAAAGTTATGGTAGCTTTCTTCTGCACCCCAAGTCACCCCTCGTCCACGAACACCCATCCAGGGAAACGTCTTCAAACCCCTGAGTTATTCAGACATGCCTCCGTCATCCATTGACTTTTTTCCGCGCGAAATTTGGTCTCAGGCTTCTCCCTCCCAAGTGGAGTAGGTTCTCAGGTTACCCAAACCATACCAGAGAACACCACCAGGAGGCGGACCACAACACCTTCCATCGTTGGCTTTTCTTTATAGTGTCAGCTGTACTCTCGCAAGCGAAGTCTTGGCGCGCAAAAAGTTCAATTCATAAAACTCTTGCCAAAATTCAGAACTTCACGCCCTTCGAGGTTATATCCATCCTTTGTATCATCTTGTGAACTTATCCTGAATCCTCTCACGCCCATCCCAAAGAACTGTCTACCAGATTTGTGCGCCACAACTTGCTTTCTCCGTCGGGTGTAAGTTTCGGCGAGGGCGTGTATTTGGCGATCAGCTGAGGCCAGAAAAGGTCGACGAGAGGTGCGGTCATTGGGATGAGGATGTACTTGGTTGTACATGTAAATTTGATGAGACTTAGGTAAGAGTCGAACTCGTTGGGAGCGAAAAAAAGATGCGGAGGAGTAATTTGGATTTTTGCCTCGTGGGCCAACTTCTTTGATATTGCGAAATCTGTCTGGAGTTGGCTCTTGGAGAATAATTCACTCCCAGGTTCGTAGAGGACACCGCGAACAGGTGTTCAGTCTAGCCCCGCTATATGTTGACTAAAGAGCCCTATTTTTATTTACTTATTGATTTGATTTGATTTTTGACTTCGATTGAATTTGACGTCGTGCCTGTCCACAGCTCGTAACTACGGTCACGACGTTAAATAATAATAATAAAAAGAACCACCTGATGCTCTAGCGTGGACTACAGCGTCTAGAAATAAGAAGAGCGTCCGACAAGCTGTCCGGCACTCTGCTTTCCAATTTAAATGATGCTAATTTATTTATTTACAATATTTAACGTCGTGCCCACGCACCGCGCGTGAGCTCCTCATGTACCGGTTAGCCCAGTCTATATAAAATTACCCGACGTGTTAGCGTCAACATAGGCCCAACATAGCAAATGAAAGGATGCAACTTCTCAATTTATAATCACACATAACATCGTTTATCAAACCTTCCAAACCATCGCATTACGCGCAGAATCAAGCAGCATCATGGCTGCGTTTAACCAGCCGTCGTCCTCGGCGTCGATCGACCCAGGCGACCACCTTCACCCGAGCCTTCTGGGGATTGCTGCTGCAATGGAGCAATCAGAACGCGAACGAAAGCAGCGAATGAGCGTAGCTCAAGATTTCCTGCATACTATTGACGCTTGGGCAAAATCCAAGGTGGGAACTGAAGGCGCGACCCTAGTTGCGCCACTTATAGAAAACATTTCACCTATTGTGACAGCATTTGCGATAGGCAACACCAATGCCAAAATTAACATAGGCAAGAAACCAGCACCCGAAACCACCCAAGAACCAATTCCTGGGCCTAGGGCGACAAAACCAGCCGAGAAACCCCGCCACGAACTTCCTCTAAAGCCACGCGAAAATGCTTCCCCGTGCGTCACTGTAGCGCGGAAGGCGGCCAAGCTCCCAGACCCGCCACTTAATCTGGTCAAACATAGACCTGTCGTGCATGCAATGCCGAAAAAACAAGAACCACCCAAAGAAGACAAAAGACTGTTCCTCCGATTAGGTCAAGGACACCAGTGGCGGAAGTTGTCACCTGTAACAATAAAGAAGATTGTAACTGAAAAAGCTGGGGTCGCACCCTCAGCCATCATAGCAATGACACAAGTTAGGTCTGGCCTAGCAATTGAGTGTGCATCAGACGCACTCAGAGAAACAATCCTGAGTGTTGGCGCTTCTCTCCAAAAGGAGGACATAACAATTGAGCCTGCCTCAGACTGGACCTCTGTCATGGTCCCTCATGTACCGGTTAACATCCGGACATTGGACGGAAGAATAGCAGTCACCAGCGAAATGGTGAAGACCGAATGCCAGTCAGTGTGTGGTGTCGCGCCAATACAGGCGCGCCCAAATGACATAAAGCTGGGTCAGTACTCCACCAGTTGGATTGTACACTTCAAACAGGCACCAGCCAACCTAAAGTTCAGGCTGTTCGACGAGAGTGGACCAGCCATACTATTCTCTCGTAAACGGCCCATCGAGCAATGTCAACGCTGCTGGGGTTATCACTCGACAAGGAACTGCGTCAAAGGACAGCGGTGCGTGAAATGCTCGGGCACGCATGAAGCAGCAGAATGCACAGCCGACATTCCCAAATGCTCAAACTGTGCTGGACCACACGAGTCAACACATTTGGACTGCATGGCCCGTCCAAGGCGATACCATGGCCAAGTGACTTCACGATCACCGGCAGAGCTACGAATTATTCGAGAGCGAGGACATCGAGATTTTAAGGCCGCAATATTAAGATCTCAAGAAAAAGGTAAGGCCCGCGAGGTCATTAATATACCAGAAGAAACGATGGTTGATTATGAGTAATACACCAAATTCTCACAAGCACAACCGAAAATATAGCACCCTTCTATTTCACCAAGTGAACGTGGGAAAGGGCGGACCTAATATGGACATAGCGCTGCAACAGGCGTGGGACGCAGGAGCGCACGTTGTCATGGTACAAGAACCATGGACATTGCAAGAAGATGGGGAGTATAAAACGAAAAATCATCCTGGCTTTCACAGTCACAAGCCCATCGGAGATACAGGCGGTCGCCCAAGAGCAATCACCTTTACCCGGAAAGGTCTCGAAGCCTCACAAATACATACGGCTCCCACAAGACAAACTTTGGACTACTGCTTCGTTCAAGTATCTGGCCTGACTTTTGTAAACGTATACCGTGCACCTGGGCCAAGCGGTACCTTAGAACCCTTACTCCAATGGACGCCCCAAGGCCCCACGGTAGTCGGGGGAGACTACAATGCGGTCTCGAAACACTGGCAACCCCAGGCACCAAGGCAATATGGTAGCGGCGACCAGATCATGGACTGGGCACTAGCGCGGGACATGCATTTAGTAACCTCAGCCGGCGTACCCACGCATCGAGATGGAAACGTCCTAGACTTAGTGTGGAGTAACACCTTCGCTGAGGCGTCGGTATCAAATAAATACAACTGTACATCGGATCATATGACTATCGTAGGATCTGTTCAGGTGACAAAAATGGCAGACCTCAACGCTGTCTCACAGGATCTGCGAGTCCGTGACCAAGACCTTGGTAAATTCGCCCAGTATGTCAAAGCCTGGGCCAAGCCTGGCCCCATACGCAACGAGTTGGAAATTGAAAGCCAAGTAGCGAACCTGCTGGAGGCTCTGGGGGATGCCCGCAAGGCAGTGGGACGGAAACCAGTGAGAATAGCCGGGAAATCAGCGCCATGGTGGAATGAGGAGTGCAAGAAAAAGCACCTCGAGTTCATGGAATCCAGAGACGACTCAGAAAAAGCAGCCCTGGCCCGGAAAAGGTTTAGAGCTACAGTCAAAGTGGCAAAAAGGGAACACTGGAGAAAACAGATCGAGAATGCCATCACGGACACCCAGGTATTTAAGATAATGCAATGGGCTAAACCCAAGCCATGTCGAGAACCTCCTCCTCTGAAGGTCGCGGAGGACAAATGGTTGTCAGACCCACTCGAGAGGGCAGAAACCCTGAGGGACATCTTGATGACTAGATTCAACGCAGCCCACGATCTCTCCACATGGGAGACGGGACAACCAGAGACTATTCCGTGGAACCCAATATTGTCGACAGAGGATGTAAAATCGAGCACCATTGGAACAGGCGACAAGTCTCCAGGAGCGGACAGAATCACGGTTCGGCTGCTCAAGGCGTGCTGGGAGCAAATTGGCGAACAAGTGAAGAACCTCTTTCAAGCATGTTTACAGCTTGGACATTTCCCCACTATGTTTCGAGTTGCAGAGGTCATCCTCCTCCCTAAGCCAGGACGGGACCTCGCAACAGCTAAAGGGTGGCGACCAATCTCTCTTCTATCCTGTCTTGGGAAAGGTTTGGAACGACTTGTAGCCAAGAGAATGGCCTGGCTAGCAATCGAGCACCGAGTCGTTCCTCAACAGCTGTTTGGTGCACTGCCTGGTCGCTCAGCAGTTGACTTGGTCTCCTGCGTCATACACGATGTAGAGGCGGCAATGCGAAACAAGAAGGTAACGGCCATGGTTACTCTGGACGTACAAGGAGCGTTCGACGCGGTCCTGCACAAACGGCTGATCCATCGTTTGCGGAATCAGGGATGGCCAAGGATACTTTGCCTATGGATAGAATCATTTCTAACCCAACGAAGGATAAGGGTGCGACACCGTGATGGAACCACGCGGGACAAAGTTGCAGAGTGCGGAGTCCCTCAAGGGTCGCCGCTATCACCCCTTCTGTTTTTATTATACATCGAAATCTTGATGCGAGACGGAAACAAGAGCACAAAATTCGGGTACGCTGACGACATCGCTATACTCAGCATAGGGAGCACCGCGTCTGAAGCAGTGGCCGAAGCCCAGAAAGAAGTCGACAAACTCGTGCAATTAGCGAGCGAAAACCAGATAGACTTTGACCCGGCAAAGTCTGAACTACTGTTAATTGGAGGTGGGCCAAGGAAAAAGCTGAACACCGCAGGTCTAGCTGTCCAGATCCAAGGCCACTGCATAGCCCCGTCCCCGTGAGATGGCTGGGAGTATGGCTAGATTCTCAACTCAACTTCAAGCAACACGTTCAGGAATGGTGCGGGAAGGCGCAACGTATAACACAGTCTATACGATGGATAAATTCGGTCCAGCATGGCGCAGCTCCGGGACCGATGATTAAAG